CATGAAGTCGTGGTTTTGCTCCCCAGCACTGCCAAAAAAACCCAAAAAACAACAAACAAAAACAAAAGCCCTAGAGGAAACATCTTGGATATTTTCACCATAAAGGAGTGATAGATGTTTGAGGAGTTAGATAATCTGAGTTAAACATTACCTAGGGCTGGGGGTGTGGTACAGTGGTAGAGCATTGGCCTAGCAGGAATTCAATCCCCAGCGCTGCAAAAAGTAAAACCAAAAAAAACAAAACAACCACCCTGTGTAGAAATATCACATGGTATCCCATAAATACATACTATTTTTATGAATCACGTAAAAACAGATGAATTAAAGGATTTGCAAACAGCAATAACAAAATGCCCACTACTCATTTCTCAACGTTCCGGAGGCTTAAACTTCCAAGGTCAAGGCACTGGCAGATGAGTCTCTGGTGAGGGCCGCTTCTAGCTGTGTCCTCCCATGGCAGAGCCGGGGAGCTCTGGGGCTGCCTCTTCTCACGAGGGCGCTAATCCCACCCTGAGGACTCCACCCTCAGGACCTAATTGCCTCCCAAAGGCTTGGCCTCAAATGCCACTGGGAATTAGGGCTTCAACATGTGGATTTCAAAGGGACACACCTTCAGCTCCTAGCCACGGGCCAGGCTTTTCTGGGCTGCTTCCCTGGGAGGGGTCTTAATCACCTCCACCAGAGGCGTCCCGAAGGGCCATGCACGGGCTTGGCATGCAGGAAGGCCCTGGAAGGCCTTGGCCTACTTGACAGAGTGATTAGAAAGGGCGTAAAAGTTGGCAAGGTCTTTCCTAGAAACGATAGCAGGCCCTGGCATTTACTGAACATTTCCTACGGGCCAGGCACTTTTCAAACATCACCTCATGTTCTCCCCACAACAAGCCCAACCAGAAAGAAAATACCGTGCTGATTGCCATGTGAGAGGGGTAAACTGAGGCCCACCAAGGCCCCAGAAGCCAGCCTGGTGTCTGCACCAGGTGTTCCCGCTCCTGCCTGATAGTTTTGGCTCCTCCTTGGTGCTTCCGCTTCCGGGGACGGTCTGAGGTTGCCCTCGCCCCTGTTTTGCTGTGGGCAGGGGGGGCCACCAGCGCAGTGCCTATGCAGCCGAGGTGCACCCTGAGGCCGCACTCCCGAGAACCCAGAGCACCCAGCTCTGGAGCACTTACTTGCTGTGTGGCCTTGGGTGAGTTTCTAGCTTCTTTGAACCTGGGTCCCACCTATACTTCGAGGGGAGCTGTAGTATACTTTGCTCTGCTGTCAAGACCAGCTCAGCTTGCGCTTGGCATTCAAGGCCCTGCCGCCTCCTCTCGCAGCCCCTTGCCTTGCTCCTCCTGTCCTCTGTGGGGATGATGACAGCGGTAAAGCACATGGTGTGCGGTTGATCAAGCCCTCGTTCTTGTCCTGGTGCGGGACTCCTCCGGCACTCGCTGTTAGTTACTGTTATCCCCACCTAGAGGAGGAAGCAGAGCTGCTTGCCCGGGAAGCTGTGGCTGTAAGTTGTGCGCCAGGATGGGCAGCAGAGCTGCTGCCTCCCAGCTTCAGAAGAGGGAAGGGACTAAAGTGCGGGGAAGGACAGGGGAGTTGTGACCTGCTTGCGCCAGGTGGAGAGGGCAGCCACGCGGGCTTCGGGGCCAGGTGGTGCCAGGAGAGTGGGTTAGGCCTCGTCCCTGGGGATGACAGGAAGCCTTCGACTGTTTTTTAAAGTCTCATTAAAAAAAAAAATCATGACAAAGTAATTTCCAAATGTCAGTTGATACAGGCTGTAGGTAAAAAATCGGGGTTTTCCTCTCCCCATGCCACACCTCTTAGGTGAAACATTGTGAGAGTTTGGAATCCTTCAAGTACTTTCACTAACCTTCAGTGCACATGCGTGCAGATATGTGTGCATGTCCACACACACACACACACACACACACACACGCCAGCTTTCTTTGCAGGAGTAAAAGTAGCTCGAATTTGTTGTGTGCCTGGCACACTGGGCCCCCTGCATGTGTTACCTCATTTAATCATCTCCCAGCCCTGTGATATAGGTAGCATTCTGCCCCCATTTTCCGGATGAGGAAACTGAGGCTCCCTGATACCCAGAGGAAGTGCTACACTGCTGTCTTCTTCTTTGCATGTCACATGTGTTGTGAACATCTCATGCCACACGGAGCTCTGGTTCTTCATCTCCCTGTTCCTCCTCCTCTTCTTTTTCTGTATTGGGGATGGAACTCGGGGCCTTGCACATGCTAGGCAAGTGCTCTTTCAGTAAGCCATATATCCTCAGCCCTCTTTTTTTAAAATTTTATTTTGAGTCAGGAACTTGCTAAGTTGTCCAAACTAGCTTCAAACTTAACGATCCTCCTGCCTCAGCCTCCCAGTAGCCGGGATTACAGGTATGTGCCACAGTATGAAGCTCTGGTTCTTTCTAATAGCTGCACAGGTATCCCCTAGATAACTGGGCCACCATTCTCTTGGCCATTCCCTCTGTGTTGGACACTTAGGTCATGGGTGTTAACAGGGGTTGTTTCTGGCTGTCTGTGTGTTTTGCAGAGATGCTGCTGGCTGCAGGAGAGGGTGCCAGGAGGGCTACCCCTGCTGGGTCTGTAGCATGGCACCAAGGAGGACGCTGAGCCCTGGCCTGAGGAATGGAGCTGGGAGGAGAGGGCTGGGTTGGAGGGTCTTTGGAGCTTCTCAGGGCTCCCCGGGGGCAGAGCCCAGCATTAGGTCCAGCACGTAGAAGGTGCCCTGCAGACCCTTGGTGAATTCCCGCCCGAGCAGGGCGGTCCCTGTGCAGTGGCCGAGTCTGTGATGAGCGTGGTGGGGGACGCAGGCCCCCCAAGATGAGGTGGGGGGATGCTAAGTCAGCTCAGGGTCTGTGGCCTGTGAAGCCTGGGGCTGCAGAGGGGAGGTGCGGGACCAAATCTGGGCCCCTGTGGGTTGCCATAGTGCAGCCTCTGTCCGGGGAGGAGTCCAAGCCTGTGCTCAGGAGCAGCTCCTGGAGGAGAGGGGCCGCCTCCCTCCGGGAGCCTCAGGCACCCCATGCGCGGCCCTCCCTGCTCCCCTCAGCCTCCGCGATCTGCCTCCACTTTGGAGTGTGCAGATGGCGGAAGAGATGGTGGAGTAGCTTTCCTGAATAGGGCAAGTCATGGTGACTGCGTTCGGGGCAACCAGGAGGCCACAGACCCCTCCCACTTCCTCCCGGAAGGAGCAGAGGTCTGAGGTCTGAGTTCCTGGAGGGTGGTCTCTTCCAAGGTCACACAGCATGACAGTGGCCTCACTGAGACTAGACCCCCACCCAAAATGGACTTGTCCTTCCTCAAGCACCGTCTGCTCTGCTGGAGGCTGGAACCCAGGCTCCGTCCAGGAGCAGCACTAGGCTGCCTTATTTGCTCCTCCATTCTGCAGGGAATCTGGCCCCTCCACTGAGAGAGGTCCTGAGGGCAGCAGGCTGAGTCTCCCACTGGACCCCATGAGCACCCCCTGAGTCCTGCCCACCCTGTGTGGCTCTCTATCCCTACTTTCTTTTTACTCACACATGCTGTGTGGCCTCAGGCAAGGTCCTTAACCTCTCTGTGCTTCAGCTTCCTCATCAATAAAATTAGGACACTATTAGTTTCTACCTCCTAGATTATCGTGAGGATTTGGTGCATCAGTATTTGCAACGTGCTTAGAGCAAGGCACAGTGGATCTGGGTTCAGGGAATGTTTGTATGCCACAGAATGATCTATGACCTCTACAGTGTGACACTGCAGGGACAGAGCGGGATGCAAGTTATACATCTGTGCCACCCTGAAGATACTGCCAGAGCCCTGCCCGAGGGTGCCAGGTCCAGCCTTGTTTCGGCAGGGGTGGGGGGCACATGGAGCTAGATCTGACCTAGCCCTGCTCGAGGGGCACTCTACCCAGGGCGCTGGATGGATCCGTTTTGTTTATGTCCTGCATTCCTCTTCGGGCAGAGCAAACGCTTTGTCAGGACTTCGTGGTTGTGTTCAAGGACAGGTCACAGGCACCCTGTTCTTCTGTATCTTCCTTTAGTCCCCAGAGTCCGCTCGTGTGTGTGTGTGTGTGTGTGTGCGCGCGCGCGCGCATGCGTGGGTATCTGCTGCTCTGGGGAGGGGACAGAGGGCCTCGGGCCTGCCAGGCAAGCGCTGAGCCACGCCCCAGCCGAGTCCACTCTGATGATCATAGTTTCCATTTCACTGGGGACAGCAGGGGGGGCTGGACCCGCCCCCTGGCTAGGCCGTTGTGATGGGGGCTGGGTGAGGGTGTGACCTCCTCTAGCCTTCAGCTGTGGGTAACATGGTCGGCAGGTTTCTGGGGACCCAGGTTTTCTGGTGGGCACCCTGACCTGAATGGAATGGGTTGCCATGGAAACTGGCTTTGTAGTTGCTGTCCCAAGGCTGACCGGCCTGACCTCCCGAAGGCCCTGGTGATCTTCCCAGGTCTTCCCCGGCCCCACATGCTCTGAGCCAGACTGTCCCCAGTGGGCCCAAAGGCCACAGTGTCCCCACACAACGCAGGCCACACCCCCAGTGTGCAGTTGAGAAGCCTGGGGGTGCCTGGCAGATTCCATGGCAGGGATGGCCGAGCGGGCTGTGCTGAGGGTGGACAGCCTTGCCCAAGGCTGGCTGGTCTGGGGGACTCGTCCCGGTGCCCGGGTGCTCAGCGGAGGTTTTCCGGGGCCACCAGCATCTCAGAACGCACCCAGGACCCACCTCACACGGTGTGTCATGTGAGCGACCCGCACGGCCTCGCCCAGCTTCCACAGTGCCCCCACTTGTCACAGAGGAGGACATGGGACACGAGGGAGGCCTGAGGTTGCACAGCTGAGTAGGAGCAGAGCAGGGATCCGGATCTGAGGAACCTGGCTCCAGAGCCCACCCCTGCTCCGGGATGCCATCTGGGAGGTTCCAGGGCCACCCGGCGGGGCCTGGTGATGAGAGATCCAGCTCTGAGAATGTAATGTCTATGTTTGTAGCCCTGAAAAATCTGTCTGCTTTATCCCTGCTTTGCAGATGAGGACGCCGAGGCCCAGAGAGGGGAAGTGACTTGCTTACGAGCACACAGCAGGGAGAGGTGGAGGAGGGTCTTCAATCCTAGACTACACCTGGTGTTTGTGCCAAGACCCCAGGCTGCTTCCCAGGTCCTCTGGGACAGCACTGCCTTCAACCAGGTGAGCTGACGGTCTTGGGTGGGGAGGGGCAGGCAGGGGCATGGCGGGGCCATGAGTGTCCTGGGCAAGTGAGCACCCTGCCTTCCCTTCTGTCCTGATCTCTGGGGCTCCCAGATCCCTGAACTCTTGAATTGTCACTCGTTCACTCATCCCTCAGTCGTTTATTCATGCTCTGTGCCACACTTTGGGCTAAACACTGTGAACACGGCAGTGAACACGAGACAGAAGCTCGGGACAAAAGTCACATAACCACAGGAATTGAAAAACGGGGCCAAGTGCAGTCAAGGAGACCCACAAAGCTGGGGGACTTAACCCAGTGAAAGGATTGGGGAACCCTTCCTATGAAGGTGACTTTTTTGTGTGGTGCCGGGGATTGAACCCAGGGCTTTCTTACTGAGCTATATTCCCAGCCTTTTTAAAAATTTTTATTTTTCATTTTGAGACGGGATCTCATGAAGTTGCTAATTTGCTCAGGCTGGGCTCAAACTTGTGATCCTCCTGCCCAGAGTGCTGGGATTATAGGTGTGCCCAGCTTAGAGGTGACTTTTGAGCTGAGAACTGAAGGAGGCATGAGGATCCCTGGTGAATCAGAAAAGAGCATTTTCAGTAATGGGAATAGTGTGTGCAAAGGCCCTGTGGCTGCACCTCCTGCCATATTGCTGCCTCAGTTGCCACTTTCAGCATCTTTCAGCTAGGGTTAGACGATTTCCATGGGTCATATACATTCAACAAACCTGCCGTAAGTCTCTTCTGTGTGCTAGTGCTGGGGATACAGACATGACTCAGTGTTCCTGTCCCCAAGGGCCTGAACAAATGACTCAAGGTGAGGTGGGGAGGTCAGGAATCTTCTACGCCTGTCCCTGGCCCAAGGAAGCCCTTTAGGGTGCCATCAGTAGGCTTATTTGACAGATGAGGAAACCTAGGCTTGGAGAGGCCAGTCCCTCTCTCAGGGCCTTAGTTTCCCCGCCTGCTGAGTGGGTGGGGGCGCCCTGAGGCTCTGCTCCACACCTCTGTCCTCTGTCCCCAGCCAGGACCATGGGCAGCAACAAGAGCAAGCCCAAGGACGCCGGCCCGCGGCGGCGCAGCCTGGAGCCGCCCGAGAGCGCGCACGGCCCGGGCGGCG